GCAATGAACGGGATGCAGTTCATCAGGAGGAACGGAAAGAAGCTAATGATCTCTCCAACATATGGAACGAGTCAGCCGGGAAAGTGATTCTATACAATTCTTGTCGTTTCCTCTATAAACGCATGCTACAGCTGTTCAGCGGGATAATACAGCGACGCACTATTGGTTCATAAAAGGTAAACAGACTAATAATAACAAATGTTTGTAATGTTCCGTTCTCCAGGAGGAGTCCCCCCCCCCACCCCCACCTCATACAGCTACATGTAGACGTCACCCCTAAACCGATGACATTTAGTCTGCTCTGTTTATATTGTAATCACCATTATTTCATTCTCTTCCCCATATCAGTGTTGCTTATCTCCTCCTGCCACTTGTAGCCACTTCCTGTCTACATGCAATCCCGCAAGTTTCAGCTGGACATCATTGCTCTGGACCGGCTTCCTGATAATGTCAAGAGTGGACCATGCCTGTGCAATGTCGGCATGGCTGCCTATAGCCTTCACAAGGACCTTGTGCGACAGAGTGACAACGCAGGAGTGCACTTAACCACTTGAGAATTTGTATTGTTAAAAATACATCCTACAATTTTTATCAAATCTATAATAGTACATCCAGCTCCCCTCCCCCTGCTGCCATTCTCCCTGCTGCCATTACTGGCAATTGCAATGACACTTGCAGAGAGTCTGCAAGTGTAATTTGACACAGTAATGGCTGGATTAGGGCAGCCGCTCCTGCTATACAAATAAATTAATGGCTGTAATTTTTACAGCGAGTAATGGCTTTGTATTTATAAATCCCCTCCCCTGTATTTGTTCAGTGACACTTGCAGACTATCTGCCAGTATCAATTCACACAGTAGCTGCTGGATTTTGGCAGCCGCTCCTGCTGTGTAACAGAAGGAAATTAATGGCTGCCATTTTGACAGCCAGTAATTGCTTTGTATTTATAAAGCCTTATCTCGATTACTGTTGAGATCCACCCAGCTGCGTGAGTGACAGCTGGCTCGGCCTATCTAGAGGCAGAGCCAGCTGTACCCTCCCCCTCCCCCGTCCGTTCCGCCAGTCAGCGCTGGAGGATCAGAGCAGGGAGGGGGGAATCCCTGCAGGGAGCCGGGAGTGACAGTCACGGCTTTCTGCAGCGAGATGATCGAGAGGTGAGCGAACGCCGGTATGTGTTCCCTCACTTCCCGATCTATTGAGCCCGACGTGTGACAGTCTCATTGTCACAGGTCGGCTCAGATTATGAGGATGAGTGAAAATCACTCGCCTCATAGTTCTCCTTTAACTGAGCAAACTGAAGAGTGACGCCGACTGGTTGCCCTGGGCAACTGCTCCAGATTCTGTCTGCTAAGGTTTTGATTTATTTCCCTCTATGAATCAATGTATTGTTTCATTGTATTGGCTATTTAAAAATAATTAAATGTCTTTTTGTCTATGGATTCCAGAGAAACTAAAATATTTTTTTGCAAAACAATATTGCCAGAAGAAAGTCTGCCTCCCCCCACCCCCCCCAAAAGAAAAAAAAAAAACAATGCACATATTATTTTCGTTATCTTAAGTATTGGCAAAGCTATCAGCAAATAAACCGGCCCATAGTGTAAATGTAACAATCGCTGCAGATGTATAAGAATCGCTACATTTTGAATTGTAACGTTTTAATGTTACACAAACGTTATAAATCTTATACGATATTTCGGTTGTTGGGTTTGGATCTACATTTGATATGAGCGATGGCTGAAGGTATCTGTGTACAGGGGAGGACGGAGAGGACTGAAAGGGAAGGTATCACACAGCAAAATACCTGTACGAGAAGCCTACGATGAGAGTAGTTGTTCTTAGATCCCCGGGCAGTAGAGTCCCGGAGCAATCAGGATAAACCTAATCTGATTCACAGCGCGCACCGAACTGTTTTGGAATTGTAAAGGGAACATAATGGTGCAGCTCCAATTCCTTCCTCCAAGATAAGCCAAAGCTGAGAGTTTCAAGCTTCTCTTCCTTATAACCCGCTCGCCGCTCCATCCAACAAACAAGCCTAAAGATGACCATACAGTGTATGATATAGTTGTAGCTCAGTGGCTTAGTGGTTCTGCCTTGCAGTGTTGGGGTCCCTGGTAGACATGTGCGATTCGTTTCGTTACGAATCGAAATTCGTACGAATTTCCTGAAATTAGTAAATTCGGAAGCATCCGAAATCCGAATTGCAGTTTCCGAATTATATCCGAAATACGAAATTCCGTTAACGAATTTCGGCTCCAAATTTCATCGAAACGGGAACTAATATTACCCCTGTAAATGAGGTTGAACAACATGACAAGATTTTTTTTTTTATCCGAAATACGAAATTCGGATCCGCTGCTGCTGAGGGTCACATTACAATACACAGGCAGGAAATACGAAATTCCGTTAACGTATTTTCGTTTCGTTACGAACATTCGTTATGATGAAGTTAAAAAGCAAAAATACCTTTGTTAATATTAAAGTTGATGGTAGTTTTTTTTTTTATCCGAAATACGAAATTCGGATCTGAAATCCGTTAACGGAATTTCGTATTTCGGATTAAAAAACAAAATACCATCGACTCCAATATTAACAAAGGTATTTTTGCTTTTTAACTTCATCATAACGAATGTTCGTAAAGTTACGAAAATTTCCCGAAACTAACGAAAATCCGTATTCCGTACGAATCCGAATTGAGTTTCGGACACGAATTACGAAATACGAAATAACGGATATTCCGAAACGAAGCAAATTTTTTGACGGCGCACAAGTCTAGTCCCTGGTTCAAATCCTGGTGAGGATACTGTATGGAGTTTGTGTGTCTTCTGGATACTCTGGTTTCCTCCCAAAGACCTGCTGGTAGGTTAATTGGCCGTGTATGTATGTGAGATCTGACCCTTAGATTATAAGCCCCTGGAGGGCAAGGATAGATATGAATGTGCAGTATACAAAGGGCTGCCTAAAACAGTCAGTCTTATATAAATAGCAATAATATTTATTTCAGGTATTTATATAGCGCCGACAATTTACGCAGCACTTTACATAGTTGCACATTCACATCAGTCCCTACCCTCAAGGAGCTTACAATCTGAGGTCTCTATCTCACATGCATACATAGGGGGCCAACTTAGAGAGGAGCCAATTAGCCTTCCAGCATGTCTTTGGAGTGTGGGAGGAAACCCACACAAGCACGGGGAGAAATGCAAACTCCTTGCAGATAATAATAAAATATTCTTTAGGTCTTCGTAATATAAGGACCGGCACAACTGAAGACGAATGCAATGGATTCTTTAGGGTTGTCCTAATATTGCATAGAAGAACAACCCGATGGGGCTGCCGGATCCTTCCTGCACATCTGCTTGCCCTTAATGGGCCTATGGCCTGCCTATAGTAGATCATTTGTTTTGGATAGGGCAGTGTATGAGTATGGCAAGGTGGAAAATGGCTTTATATAGACCTTAATATAGGGAGTGCAGATCCCTGGTGGAGCAATCTAGAAGGCATCACAGCGATGCACCGGCAAGACAGTGTGTAGGCTAAGTAAATCTGCAGGTTGATGACCTACCTGTGCAGATACGTAGACTCCTCATCGCGCGCAGCGACACACGACGATATCGAGCACAGCACCAGAAGAGACGCGCAGACATAAATGTTCATTGTTATGAATTCTGGGATTGGATGTTTCCGACACCTTTCTACCATTTGCAGATGAACCGAAAGTTTGGAGTTAACATGAAGAGTCCCCAGAGCCACCAGAGGAATGGGGAAGGCGGGGGGGAGGGGGGGGGTGTTGGGTGGTGAATCATTCACAGCAACTTAAATATTGCTGCAGAGAGTCCGAGAAGAGGATTGCCAAACCCGAAGCAAACGTTTGGTTGGCCATGGGACATTTGGAAATGTAAACGTGAGTGGTGTTTGCTAAACTCATCAACAATGAGGACACCAACCTTGGTAAACAAGGTTCCATCATCAACCCACAATGACTTGAAAGAGAAAAATCAGGGCTTGTGCACCCAGGAGATGAGATCCTCGGCCCTGTGCTCGTATTTTTATGCAGACCTATACGCCGGTTTCACACAATCTCAGTCTAGTTTAATCACTCATCGGGGGGAATTCATCAAAACTGGAGCACACAAAACCTGGAGCAGATTTGCACTGCAGCCAATCAGCTTCTCTGTCTCATTTTCAAATCTTACCTGAGCAAACTGAGGAGGGATGCTGATTGGTTGCCATGAGCAACTGCTCCAGGTTCTCTCTGCTCCAGTTTTGATAAATTCCCCCTATGCTCTTGTGTCCTCAGCACTCTTTGGCATTGGCTGCTTCGGTTATCTGGGGCTCATTAAAGTAGATTTTAAGCCCTAAATGAACAATATTTGGTTTGTTAAAACATTGTACACTGAGTGGCCAGATTATTATGACCCCCCCATCAGTACTTCGTTGGGCCGCCGGTTTGTGACTCCACGAGATGATGAAAGGCGATGCGAGGAATCTGACACGGCGCTGTTGCCCTTCTGTTGTCTTGTACCAGTCTTGCCCCTCCCCCGTTCTGCCCTAACATTGACTAGTCGCTGACGGCCACGATTCGCACGTTCAGACCCAGATTTTCGGCTGACAGTCCGGTCTTTAAACACTTTAACAATGAGCTGCTCTTGAACATTTAATGAATTCTGCTGTTTTGCTGATACTCGCTCCATGGCTCCGAGCGCCAACAATCATCCCGCGTTCAAAGTCTGTTAAATCGCGTTGTTTCCCCGTATCTTCAGAAACAAATCACTTCTACTGTCGTGGTAACCAACCCGCTTCCCTATTTATAATGGTCTGGCCCTCTAGCAACTTCCAAATTATAGCTCATTTGCCTACAAACGTCAGGTGGTCATAATAATCTGGCCACTCAGTGTATATAATAATCCCGCCTCTCAGTGTATCTAATAATCCGGCCTCTCAGTGTATATAATAATCTGGCCCCTCAGTGTATATAATAATCCGGCCACTCAGGGTATATAATAATCCGGCCACCCAGTGTATATAATAATCCGGCCACTCAGTGTATATAATAATCCGGCTACTCAGTGTATATAATAATCCGGC